TCACAAATCATAAATTTCATTGATCACAATTTATTTATCAGTCAAAAGTTATCAAATTAACAGGCCATGAATCATCTTTCGATAATAAATCACAATTTTTATAGATTACAACTTATTTTTCAAACACAAATTATCAAATTATTTGGTCATAACGTAATAAATTGTAAGTCACAATTACAAATTTAATCGCAATTTCACATTTTTAGGTTATATATTATTATTGGTCACAAATAGCATTTTATTGGTCACACACACTATTCACCCCACCCTACCACCACCGTAGTAGCCAGTAACTCCCCACAACTACCACCACCACAAGTACACCCCACCTTACCATCACCGCTAGCATCATCATCATCACCACCATGACCATATCGTACCGCACCACATAGTGTACCACTATTGCACCATGCTGCATACTACAGAACCATCGCATCATCATCTGAACACCACCACACTATCGTTGCTGCGTGTGACTCCATAGCCAGTGCCTACTTTGTACAGCGGCGATCACCACCAAAAACCTTCGCAAAAAGAACAAAAAACCATCAACCACCATAACAACGACTCCACAGCATCCATTTTGGAGAAATCAAACTCAAAAAATAAAAAAGGATAAATTTGTTAGTACCATGGCAATTGTGATGTCGTTAAAGCGGAGCAATTGATGCTACATCGTCAAATCTGAGCGCCATTGCTGCGATGCCCCGTTGTGGGTGCTATTGTCGCAACTGATTGCACGATCATCACTAAGGCAATTTGAGTGTCGCATAGCGGAGCATCGCTGTAGCGACATTGTAAACGTCATTGAACTTGCTCACAACACCACTATAGTGATGCTCTCGTGAGTGCTAATGTAGGTAACAAAGAGAGAATGAAGAAAAAAATGATTAGGGTTTGGAATGAAATTAGAGTAGGTGGGTATCACCTAATTTTTGTACAAAAAACTTTTTAGCTCTTGTTTGAGCGCCATTTTTTTGTTAAAAATATATTTTTGAATAGTGATTTTTTTTAAAAAAAATATATGGTTGAAAAATATGGAAAAGTTTCCGATTTACGTATAATATTATTTTATTGAAAAATGTGTGGTTGAAAAGAAAAAAGAAAAAAATGTATTTTGATAAAAATTGGGGTCAAACAAGGGCTAAATCTTCTTTTTGAATTTGAAGTTATAAATCATATGTTCAGCATGTTCGGGAGTGATTTTTTGGTTCAAAAAATTGATTTTTTGACCGTTATTTTATTATTTTAGCCGTCATATTTGACTTCTTCTCTCACGGTGGACCCCACTTTTCTCATAACGGTCAAAAAATCAATTCTCAAAATCACTCCCAAACAGGCTCGTTATGTGTAAATTTCACTTTTCTAATTTCAAATGATAGGCATCAAATCTGTCAAAATCTAATAAAAATCTTCAAAATAGCTATACCAAGATTTGTTTTATGACATTTTTAAGCTTTATGAAACCTTCTTTTTTTAGTTTGAGGAAAGCAATATTCGATTCCACTTGATCAAATCATTTACGAGGTCAATTTTGGCTATTATAGTTCGCTTCAAGCTATTAACATGATTAAGTAGCTTTTTTTCCCCTTTCTTGAGGCTTGCTTTTCTGTTATTTGTTTTAGGTAAATGGTATTTTTATTTTGTTAGATTAAATTTGGAATTGAAAATTTATTCATTTATCTATTTTTCGTGAAACCTAGTTTAATGTCTCCAAAGACAGCCTTAGTAAGAAGCCAAAAAGATCGACCAAAATAGGTCTTACCAATGTTTGTGCTAAACCAAAAGTCTTTGTTATGTTAATTGTATGCCTTCTTATATAGGTATGAACAGCTTCATTATTTGATGTCGGAGGCAATAGTGACGTGTGCAATAGTTTGGTGATGGTGAGTAGCACTAGATCCAACATTCGATGGTGAAAGTGGTGATAACATTTAATATGTTACTTGAATGTAATAATAGTGTGAGCTTCACATGGACAACAAAACGTGTCATTCTGTATTTTGTGATGGTAGTTGTGGTGCAAGAAGTGATGTGTTTAAGAGGAAAAACATAACTTGATACTTGCGTTCTGTGGTGGCAAACATTGGTGTGGAGTGATTTCGTATGATTACCTATGTTACTTGTGTTTTGTGATGATGGTGTTGGTAGGTAGTGGTATGAAGTTGCGTCAATGGGTCACATATATGTTACTATGTATTTTGTATTGGTAATATAATGGCATCAAATTTTGTTCATTATTTGGTGGTTTTAAATGATGATGGCAGCTTTGAAGTTGGTGGTGTTGTGGTTATTGTTGATGGGTAGGGGTATTTTGTAGTTGATGTAGGATGAAAAGGAAGAGTAACATAGGTAACAAGAGGTAGCCCATACAATATGTTAGTCATGTAAAATATGAATTTTTTTAAAATAAAAACAATATAGTGTAAAATGTTGATTTTTTTTTTAATAGTAAACACATGGCTTGTAACACGTAATTTTTTTAAAATAAAAGTAATATAGTGTAGTATTCCCTGTTTGAGCCCTATTTTCTAAAAATTGATTTATTTTTTTTTAAATTCACTTTCAACCAAAATTTTCTCAATGGAATAATTTTGTACATAAAACCAAAATTTTTTCATAACCAACCATCGAAACCCAACCCAAAGACCTTCGAATCCAATTAAAGTTCATGTCCATAATTGAGGAAATTGCACCATCTACCTATTACTGAATACATATTTAAAAATTAATTTTTACGTATGAATATTCAGTATTTACTATAATATTGAAGTAAAAATGAAATGTGATATATTACCCTTCTCCTAAAGGAATTGATTATGGTAAAAAAATTTACTCCACCAAACATGACATCCCAATTTCTCTTTTTAAATGTAATATGCCAAATCTTGGTTCTTTCAAAAATATTTCATTATCGATTCCAACATGATCCTCGATTGATCGAAATCACAAAACCATCCCAAAGTTGTTTAATTACAGATTTAGGCAATCTTTAACCATATTTTTATTCTAAAGATCCATTTCAAGATCTTCGATTTGGCGTGGTTAGGGCCAAGTCTTCCATATAAACCCTAATCGGAGCTATCATCACTATAATCTTCCATTGAAATCAGGAAAAAAACACTTTTGTTACCATTTCTAAGTTCAATGTTTACTTCGATTATGGCATCTCCAAGCAGCCAAACAAATTTGTGTTTGAACAAGAACAAGCAAAAATGTGAGATCATATTCCTATTGTAGACCAAAATTGTTACGTGCTCGCACACTTGGACAACCCATCGGGGCCCACGGCCAGCTCATACCGAGCCACGTGGCACTCAATCCAAGGTGGTCTGCATAGTCGAGGCCCACTAACCGAGGTCCAGAGATACCTAGGCCCATATACCGAGGCCCACTTATCATGACCTCATAAGTGGCTTCCGAAGCCCATATACCGAGGCCCTTTAAAGGTTGGCGAGGCTCTATTTGCTGAAGCTCTATAGCCGAGGTGGAAGCATCTGAAGCACAAAGCAACATCTTCCATAGACACCTCTCTCAAGAGATTTTCTGCACAAAGATCTTACTTGAATGATTAATAGGACGTTTGTCATGAGTGTATTTGTTAAGTCTTGTCACTAGTGGAGGCGGCTCTGCCAATCAATAAATGTATAACCGGCTAGGTGCGACTGATGCCTACAATTTGACATGCAACTCAACCGGATGAGGCCACATATATCCCGAACCAAAGGTCACGATCTAACTAGCGACACTATAAATACCCCCCATGTACCCCATACAAAGGCTAATGCAAGAATCAATACAAGAAATCATATTTTACTCAACTCACTCTCTTTCTTATTATCTTGCAACCTAAACAAGTTCATACATATTTAGATACACAATAATAAACATCGATTGGTAATTATTGTACAATCGGTCTACGATCATTCCGCCGGTTCCGAACGTTCTCGTTTCGCGCCGTTGAGCTACTCCCACGCCCTTGATCTGTCCATTTCAGACCGTCCACGTGTCTTTGCGTGTTGGACATTTGCTCACGTGTGCGCGGGTGGGTTCGGCATCTATTGGCAACGTTTATTGGGGTAAACAGATTGACGTCGTCTGTGGGAAACCATACTATAACAACGAACAACCTTATGGTGAAAGTTTGTTAAAGAGGAACATTTGGGCATCCCCCTTGAAAAAGGATTTGTTCTTGAAAAAGAACAGGAGGAAGCCCCACGACTTAGCAAAAATCTAAAGGGTAAGACACAAGGAAAATGAGTTCAAATGAAGATACACCCCCCAGGAGGATAAGAGAAAATGCTAATGTGCCCCCTCAAGCAGCAGCCCCAACAGCTCGGCATAGACCCCATCATAATCATCGAAGAGGTGGAATGCGTGCGACGGTCTGACTGTCAAGAGAAATGACCACCATGACAGCTAATATGAGGGACATTGCTAGCCAAAACATGGCTATGAAGGAACTCATGGCCCAAATGCAGGGTCAGGGAGGTTTCCCTATTCCTCCATACATCCTTCAAGGGCAATACCAGCAAGAAGATGAAGTTCAAGGGAAGTGGAAGTTGACGTTTCCTCCAACTATGCTTCTGGCCGACCCACCGAGGTCCCTTTTCACCATGATAACTTCCCACCTCCGTATCAGCAAGAGCAAAGACATAGGAGGTCAGGCAGTGTATTTGATAGAATCGTCCCGCTGAACCGAGGCTCAGACTACAGCAACATCACGAGCCTTGAACAAGGCCATCGCCTCCACCTCCAATGCATCAACAGCCGGAGGAAAGGCATGAAAATGCCCCCGTGTTGGTCCGCCTAGAAATAGGTGTCAAAGGAAGGAGGAAGATGCTAGGAATCGTCCCGAAACCTCTCACCAACAACTGAGGTATGAGGCTGAAGAAAACGATTTTGATGAGCAGCAGAGGTCCTGTGACTTGGATGATGATGATGAAAACTTGCCATTCTCAAAGGAACTAAGGAGCACCTAGGTCCCAAGCCATTATGTTATGCCAAAAATACCAAAGTATGATAGAAGAGGCGACCGAGAGAAGCACCTGAATGCTTACAAAATTCACATGAGCCTAAGAGGCGCCACCCCAGCTGTGAAATGCAGAGCTTTCCACTTAACACTTAACGGAGCAGCTGAAATTTGGTATAGTAGGTTACCACCTGGGAGCATAAAAAGTTGGCTCGAATTCAAGACGACCTTCTTGAAGAGGTTTGCTGTGAGCAAAGAGGGAGAGGCCCCCATCCAACGTCTTCAAGACATGAGACGGGCACATGGGGAGTCTCTAAAGAGCTTCCTATCACATTTCATTGATGAGATGACATATTGTGTGCAAGTCACCGATCGTGAGGCGTTATCTGCATTGAGAGGAGGTCTGAACATGAACACTCTGTTCTGGAGGGACGTATAAAATCAAGATCCCACCACTTATGATGCCCTACTCAAGATGATGAGACGGGAGATCATCAATGAAGAATTGATTAAGCATAGGAACAGAGCGAATAGAGGCCTCCCACCTCCTCAAAGGCAGCGTGCTAGAGGGCCGACCTCCCACTTGATAGACTACCAGATGAACTAAGCTGGTAATGAGAGTTCTAGGCAAGCACTGGCCACCACCACTCTTAACGCTATCCCTACACTAGCATATGAGGATATCAACCCCCTCGCTAACACCCACTAGATGGGAACTCCGCAAGGATCCTATAGGGGAAGAGGCCGAGGCCGGGGTTCAGGGCCTAGAAATAGGTCAAATCAAAACCCGTCTGGATACTGTGTATACCACCGGTCCTATGGACACGACACGACAGATTGCTGAGATTATGCTCACCGCTCCCGACGAAAACCCTCTAGGGACAGAAACGATTCGCCCCAAGCGAATAGGCCCCCACCAAGGTACGATAACCAACCTCGGCGTGAAGAGGTCGCTCCACGTCAAAGGGATGTCTTTCCGCGACGAAGGGACTGTGAAGCAGAAAGGCATAGGGAAGGGCGCAGATATCGAAGAAACCGACAAACTCAAGATGAGGCTCCTATCCACGAGGTGGATACCATTTTTGGAGGCCCTTATATAGGCGGTGAAACGCGGAACGTCAAAAGGAATTATGCCCGTAAGGCCAAGCACCCCCCGCTTACCTGCTATATTGTGGGCCACAACTCCCGAAGAGATCAAGTTCCACCTATTGTCTTCAACCAGGAGGACACTAAAGGGGTTCACTACCCCCACTGCGATGCACTTGTGGTAAGAGTGGTCATAGTCCAGAATGGGCTCAAACGAATGTTGGTTGACAATGGAAGCTCCGTCAACATTCTATTCGGATCCACCTTTGACAAAATGATACTGGACCATGAGTTAACATCCACCACCACTCCTTTGTACGGATTTACCCGAGATAGCATTACTCCAAGAGGAAAAATCACACTCGTGGTAGAGATGGGAGAGTCTCCCCAAACCACGATGAATTTCATGGAATTCCTCGTCGTTGATAGTCGATCGGCCTACCACGGAGTATTGGGTAGACCGGCCTTGAAAGAAGTGGGAGCCGTTACCTCCATCCACAACCTATGCATGAAGTTCCCGACTGAAAATGGGGTGGCAATGGTGAGAGGCGACCAAAGAGGCTCAAGAGAATGTTATTTAAGCTCCATCAGAAAGGTAGAGCCCCGGGACGTCCACGTAATTATTGCCGATGTGGTCATGGCTGATGCCCCAGGTGATGCTCCCATCGAACCGGAAGATGTCGAAATGATTGACGCACCACCCAATCCGAATGTAGTGGTCATTGATGAAATTGACCCCCACATAATTGAACACGAACCTCAAGCATCCCCAGTTGAGGAACTTGAAAGCTTCTCTGTGGACCCCGGAGACCCATCCAAATTGTTAAAGGTGGGCAAAAATTTGTTCATCACTGCAAAAGAAAAAATCAAGGATTTTCTAAGTAGGAACCTCGATATCTTTGCTTGGAGGCATGAGGATATGGTAGGCATAGACCCCAAGGTCAGTTGCCACCACTTGAAAATTAATCCTAAGGTTGCCCCGCATAGACAAAAAATGAGAGCCCTCAATCCTGAGAGGTACGAGGCCCTGAAAGAAAAAGTTCAGAAGCTCATCCAGAATGACTTCATCCGAGAGACCACCTACCCGAGGTGGGTCTTCAATCCAGTTTTAGGAAAAAAATACAATGGCAAGTGGAGGGGGTGCATCGATTTACCAACCTCAACAGAGCTTGCCCGAAAGATAGCTTTGCACTTTCAAGGATGGACCAATTGGTAGACTCCATGGCTGGACACGAGTTATTAAGCTTCATGGATGCATACTCCGGCTACAATCAAATCCCCATGCACCCGGCCGCTGAGGAACACACATCTTTTATCACAGACCGAGGCCTTTACTGCTACAAGATGATGCCCTTTGGGTTGAAAAATGCCGGAGCAACATATCAAAGGCTCGTTAACAAAATGTTTGTGGACCTCCTTAGCAAGACAATGGAGGTCTACGTAGACGATATGCTGGTAAAAATTTTGGAAGCTGGAGACCACATAACGCACCTCAACAACACCTTCCAAATATTGAGAAGATATACGATGAGGCTCAACCGCCCTCAAATGCGCCTTCGGAGTGGCCTCCGGCAAATTCTTAGGATACATGGTCAACCAGCATGGTATTGAAGCCAACCCCGAGAAGATTGAGGCCCTATCCAAAATGAAGTCCCCTCCCCAAAAACCAAAGAAGGTACAAAGCTTAACTGGACGAGTGGCTGCACTTAGCCGCTTCGTCTCCAAGGCTACGAATAAATGCCTCCCTTTTTCAAAGTGCTAAAAGCTGGAAAGAAGTTCTAGTGGAATGAGGAATGTGAAGAGACCTTCCAGAGCCTGAAAAGGCACCTAGGGCAGGCCCCCCTCTCCAAACCGAAGCCCTGAGAAATTCTACAGCTATATCTAGCCGTATCCAATGAGGGCATAAGTACGATTCTAACCCGAGAAGAGGGAACCACCCAACTCCCTGTCTACTATACAAGTAAAGCACTCCTATCTCCAGAAACCCGGTACCTCGATATGGAGAAGCTCGCTTTGGCCTTGATCACGGCTTCCAGGAAGTTGAAACCCTATTTCCAGACCCATGCTAACAAATTTTTCCCTAAGATAGGTACTCCAAAAGTTGGATGCCTTAGGGAGATTACTGAAATGGACGGTGGAGCTAAGTGAGTTTGGCCTCGTGTTCAAGGCTAGGACAGCCATCAAGGGCCAAGCCTTAGCTGACTTTGTGGCAGAATTTGCCAACTTACCCGAGGTGGACGAAATCATGGAACAAGCTAAGCCCCCAACGTGGAACCTATTTGTTGATAGGTCGGTTGGGGACGCCGACTCAGGCGCCGGAGTTGTCCTCATCAACCCGGAAGGTCACAAGCTAACCTCGACGGTGAGGTTCGGGTTCAAAGCCACCAACAATATAGCAGAATACAAGGCACTTCTCACAGGCCTCAGGTTAGCTAAAAAAATGCAAATAGAGAGGCTACTCATCAATAGTGACTCCCAGCTAGTCATTAGCCAAGTCAACGGTAACTTCTCAGCCAGGGACAAAACGATGGCCTCCTACTTGAAAATGGTGATGAACCTCATCCCATCATTCGAAAAGTTTGAGTGGATCCAGATCCCCCGCATCGAAAACGCACATGCGAATGCACTCTCCAAACTTGCAAGTAGCAAAGATTCTGAACAACTCACAGTAGTCCCTATAGAGCACCTCCTCATACCGTCAACCGAGGCCCCCAATGTAATGTGGGTCACTGGGACTCCTACCTGGATGCAGCCCATCGCAACATACCTCAAGGACCAGGTACTTCCCACTAACAAACATAAGGCCTACAAGCTAAGGAAGAGATCAGCCCATTTCCTTCTCATTGATGATGAACTATATAAGAGGAGCTTCTCCTCCCCACTCTTGCGATGCGTCGAAAGAGAAGAGGCTACCTACATCTTAAGAAAAGTCCATGAGGGTATGTGTGGCAATCACTCTGGAAGTCTATCTTTGGCACAAAAGACACTGAGACAGGGGTACTACTGGCCCACCTTAAAAAAGGACGCCCTCGAATTTGTACGAAAATGCGATAAATGTCAACGATTCTCTCCTGTCCAAAGACAACCATCGCAAGATTTGACCATGGTCTCCAGCCCTGGCCTTTTTCGAAGTGCGGTGTGGACCTCATAGATCCTCTACCAAAAGGCAGAGGAGGTGTGAGCTTCGCAATTGTGGCCATTGATTACTTCACGAAGTGGGTTGAAGCTGAGCCCCTGACGAAAATTACAGAAGCCAACACTTCCAAGTTTTTATGGAAGAATATCATATGCGGTTCGGGATTCCCTACTCGATCGTCTCAGACAATGATAGACAGTTCGACAACAAGAAGGTCAGAAGTTTATGTAAAGAACCTGGCATCAAGAAGCACTTCTCCACGCCTCATCACCCGCAAGCAAATGGCCAGGTTGAGGCTGTGAACAAGACAATCAAGCACGTCCTGAAAAGGAAGCTTGATGTGTCAAAAGGGGTCTAGGTGGATGAGCTCCCACAAGTTCTTTGGGCAATTCGAACCACTGCGAGGACCCCAACAGGGGAAACACCTTTCCTCATGGCATACGGGACTGAGGGCATAAGCCCTGTCGAGGTCGGACTTCCATTCCCACGACGTTTGCATTTCAGTGAGATAACAAATGACGAGCTTCGCAGGTGCGACCTTGATTTCATTGAAGAAAGGAGAGATGACGCCCAGCTGAAGCTCGGCACATATCAAAGAAAATTGACGAAATACTTCAACTCAAAGGTGAAAAAGAGGTCATTTCGAATCAACGACCTGGTCCTTAGGAGAGTTTTCTTCTCTTCGAAGGAACCTGGCACTGGTTCTTTGGGCCCGAACTAGGAAGGTCCATATAAAATCAGAGAGGAGATCCGACCCGGGACGTACTGGATTGAAGACATGAACGACAAGGTGCAACCCCGTCCATGGAACATTGAGCACCTCCGAATCTATTATCAATAAATGCACTACCTCGCTGGACGATCTTTCCCAGTTTATGTAACATTTAAATGATTTAATAAAATTATCCATGATTGAATTCACGTGTCGCATTACATCATCACCACGGAAGAGAGGACATCGTCCCATCTCTGGGCCACCTCATTCGAACTCCGAGGCTCATGCATTTCCGCCCTTTGGCGAGGCTAAACACCACTGGGAGAAGCCTCAGCGTGGCTGAACCATCCACCATGTTGGGAAGCGTCATCACCTCGGAAGAGAGGACAGCGTCCCATCTCTGGGCCACCTCGTTCAAATTCCGAGGCGCATGTACTTGCCTCCCTTTGACGAGGCTGAACGCCACTGGGAAAAGCCTCAGCGTAGCTGAACCATCCACCAC